TGCCACCTGGCCAATCCATCTCGTTAGGGGTCTTCCTCTTTTTCTCCAACCCTCCATCTTACCAAGCATGATATCCTTCTCCAGGCTTTTTACATCTGTGCAAATACATACTCTCGTGTAGGGCAACTTCTAGAATCAGAATGATTTCAGGACTTGTTTCTCAGTATAAATATTGGAGGCAGTGTGAACATCATGGAGCGAAAGCTGTCTCAGGGCTCAGTTCCCCTCTCAGGAGAGTTGGGTAACCACCACCCCCAAGAGTCTGAGCACAAGGCACGTCATTGAAACCACACTCCCAGTTTGCCCTCAACTGCCACTACAGCTGTTACAAGGCAAAGGTGTTTGACTCCAGCTTCCTGCACAGCTGAGTGAAATAAAATAGCAACCTAGATAAAATGTAACTGAAGTTTCTTCTGGGGAGAGCAGCATGGTAGGAATTGTACCTCCTTTTGGCTACCTTAATTGAAAAAACGAACAAACCAACACAAAAACCTGTTGCATTGGAGTTTACACCTTTGAGTGGATTGACTAAGTAGAGCTTCCCACAGGAGTTCCGAGGCAGTAAATTCCTATGGAAGAAAACTGCCAGATCTTTCTGCCCAGCAGAGCTCCTGCTGGATTTGAACTGTCGACCTTTCAGTTAGCAGCTGAACATTAATTACTGTGCTACCAGGCCTCACTTGCTACTTTATAGATGTCAATAATGTTGAATGTGTTACAAAGTGCATGTGTTGCTGTTATAATTAAACAAAAGTATCTTAACAAAACTATTCTACCAAAAAGAATCCCTGGTGGAGCCATGACTAAGCATTGGGCTACTAACTGAAGGGTCAGTGGTTCAAACCCACCAATTCCTCCAAGGGAGAAAGATGAGGCTTTCTACTCCCGTAAAGATTTACACCCTCGGAAACCCTGTACAGGGTCGCTATGGGTCGGAACCGACTCGACGCCACTTAACAACAACAACTACTCTGTCTGGGAGCAGTTCTAAGCTCAAGAGATACACTGAACAAAGGACAAAACTCCCTACCCTTATAGGCTTTGTAATGCATGGAATTTATGCATTTGGGGGTGCTGCGAGATCAGTGAGGAGGCTGCTGGGATGACTGACTCAGAATAGGGCATTGACCATGATGGCGGTGTTAGCTAAATCTTAACCGAATCAGCAAAGAGGTGTAAGAGGAAGAAAAGTTGAGGCTGAGTCCAGAATTTTTTGGTCTGAATGCTGGAAAAATGGAGTTGCTTTCTCCTGAGATGGGGGAAACTTTGGGAGAGCAGGTAGAGTTGTCAGGATCTCAGTTTTGGACATCAGGAGCCCTGGTGATGCCATGGTTAAAGCACTTGACTGGCCAACCGTAAAGTCAGTGGTTCCAGCTCATCAGCCACTCCGCTGGAGAAAGATGTGTTGGTCTGCTTGCGTAAAGACTTACAGCCTTGGAAACCCTATAGGGCAGTTGGAATCAACAGCAGTGGCTGTTTTAAATCTTCATTAGACATCACATAGAGGTGTGATGCAGGCAGGTAGATGGACAAGTCTGTGGTTTGGGGAAGATAGTGCAGGCATTGTTGTTGAGGAGGCCCAGGATTGAGCTGTTGGGCCTCTTATTACTAGGTTACTGGTGCGGAAGCAGCAGAGGGGACTGAAGGGGAGGGGATGTGTGCAGGAGAGCAGCGCATGGTCCTGAGAGCTGGAGGAGGACCAAGTGTGACAAATGCCCTGAGAAGTCAGGACAGCCTACTGGGATCAGCAGTATGGTGGCCTTAACAACCAAGTAGGAGGAGCAGCAAGAGAAGAGGAGGGAACGCAGACAGCTCTATACGAAACAGGGCTGTAGCTGGAAAGGGATGAAGAGGTGGTTTGGTTTGCTTTGGTTTGGCTTTTAAATGTTAAGTATATTTGTTAATGATCCTCTAGAGGGAACGTTCAATGTTGCAGCAGAGAGAGGAGATAGGATCCAGAGCACAAGCAAGTAAGTTGCATTTGAGGAGAGCACAGACATTCTTTCATCGCAAAGGAAGGAAGACCAAGTGGGTGGGCCTGGGGGCTTGTGGCTGCTCTCTTCTGATGGCTTCTGTGTTCTCTGGGAACTGGAAGCATTCTTAGCTAAGACTGAGCATGTTGTGTACTGAGTGATCTATAAGTAGGATGAAGCTCTGGTGTTTCGTCTGCTAGAACCAGTGCCAGAGACTTGGCAGGATCGGAGCTGACGAATGCAGAGCATCCCAAGTACACAGTGCCTGGCATGGGGTGGTACCTATTCCTACCTCAGCATGGATGTTCCTCTGGCACCTGAACCCATCACTTTCCCCAACACCCTATTCTTCCTGTCCTGTCAGAGATCAGACAACATGCCACCTTCTTCTCCTACCTACCATTTGCATCCCTCACCAAAAACTTGGGGTCATTCTGAACTGTTCTCTTATAATATTCACTTGCTCTGTTGATTGATCTCAACACCCTGCCCTGATTCTGACTTGATTTTCATTCAGACTTGCATCACACTCCTCCATTTCTCAAAGACACAAGTGGCTTCATCCTTCCACTCCCCAGGGCTTCCAGACATAGCAAACTTTCCTGCCTGTCTCTGCTCCCTGTTTAGCCTGCCGGGGGACTCTCACACATCCACCACACTGCCTTTGCACACGCTGTTGGTCAGTTCAAAGTACTTTCCACCCCATTTCTATGCCCAGCAGTCCCTCAAGGATGGAGAGGCAACCCAAGGGGCTCATCTGATGGCTCTGAAACCCCTATGTGTGACTCTTCCTCTGTGGCATCTATACTTCCCTTAACCAGAGGAACGATCAGCATCGAATCCCCGGCTCCCGAACGCTTAGGTGCGGGCCAACCCTGCACTCTAGGCCTTTCATGAGTTCATCTCATGGCCTCCTCGTTAAGCATTTCTGGGTGTCGGTGCTAGCAGTGCATGGGCACCATTGTTTATTCATGTCGTCCTCATAAGACCTCTCAGAGAGCCAACAACCTCATGTGTATTTCATAACTGAGGAAATAGAGACGCCGAAAACTTAAGTAACTTGCCTGGGGTTGCATAGTAAATGAAGGGGGCCAGGTTTAGAACCCAGACCACTTGGTGGGAGAGCTGGCTCACGGCCCCTCCCAGAGTATGCTGTGCCCGTCCACCTGCCCAGGGACGGGGTGCTCGTCCCTCGGCGGCAGAGCGGCTCAGAACCACCATAGCAGCCCGCCCTTTACCATGGGCCACTCACTGCTCGGCCCCCTTTCCGACCTGCTTCTGGAGCATCGACCCTCTTCCCACAGGCTCACCGTCCTGGGGACATGGGGCGCAGAAAATCCAAACGAAAGCCACCCCCCAAGAAGAAGATGACAGGTACTCTAGAGACGCAGTTCACCTGCCCTTTCTGCAACCACGAGAAGTCCTGTGACGTGAAAATGTGAGTGCAGCTGGGGGTCCTGCCTCACAGGGCGCCCACACCTGCCTGGGCCCCCCGATGGGGTGGGGGTCATCGGACACAGACCTCGCTGCTCACCAGTCGTCTCCCTCTTCCCATTTCAGGGACCGTGCCCGCAACACCGGAGTCATCTCTTGTACCGTGTGCCTAGAGGAATTCCAGACACCCATCACGTGTATCCTTTGAAACCCAGGCTTTCCCCGGTGGGTGGAGGGGGCAGTGGGGTGGTCAGGGTGTACACTGCTCAAGGCACCTGGGCACAGGTGGAGGGACTGGAGAGCAGCCCTTCTCCACTGACCCACTGGGCGCCCTGGTACAGGTGCCTTTTTGGGTCTTGCATGAGGGTCAGAGAACACTGGTGTGAGCAACAGAGGGCTATGCGGGACAGGAGTCCAGTGCCACCAAATGCCCTTGACCACGATGGCTCAGATCTCTCAGAACCTGTGGATGTGTACAGTGATTGGATAGATGCCTGCGAGGCAGCCAACCAATAGCAGCGCAGAGGACCCACCCCTCCCAACCCACCCACTGGTGGTACCAAACCAGAGACATTCCAGGGGTCTAGGGTGTGGGTCCACAGTCGTCCCAGCCCTCTGTGGAAGTGTGTGTGAGTGTGCGTGTGCATGGCTGCAGGCATGTCTGGGGGTGGCCAGGCATGTGTGTGTGTGTGTGCAGGTGAACATGGGGTAGAGGGGTCGCTGGGGCCAAGGGGCCTGAACTGGCCTCACTGGCCCTCCCTGGCCAGGGCCTTGGCGCCTCCTCGCTGACATCCCTGGGTGCAGACCAACGCAACAGAGACTGTGGCATGACCCCTACAGCCTCCTCACCCATCCACCAGCACCCTACCTCCTATCACCGCCCTCCTCCTTTGCCTTCTGAGGCTGAGACTTGAAGTTCCTGACCCCCAGGCCCCTTTAGTGGGAGCCCAACTACCCACAGTACCTGGGAGGCCATTTCATGTTGACTTGCTTTTGTAGAGGAGGAAGGGAATGGCTTGGGAACAGCTATCATGAGCCCTTAAATAAAGCAGCCAATGCCAGACTGCTGGCAGACTGTGTGTGATTTCATGGGTTCGGGGTCTGCCTCAGCACTCCTGTTTTGGAGGCAACCTGGCGGTTTGTTGGAAGTTGGGGTTGGGTCATTCTTTCAAAACTCATGAATACTTTATTCCCCAACCAAGTATTCAAGGTAACACGGGCACTTGGGACACTGGTGAACCAGACAATTCCAGGGCCTCGTGGGAGGTGGTCAGGGAAGACTTCCTAGAGCAGCTGTGTGAGTGAGCTGACAGCAGGGTCTGTGCTCCCACTGGGCCCCAATAGCAGCCCTGTGTGGGAGGGAGGGAGGGATGCTGCTGAGCTGAGCCAGATGGAAGGGCCCACAGCCAGAATCTCGAACAGCACAACTGAGATTTGAGCCCAGGAAGCCTGGCTCCAAAGCCAGAGACCAGGTTAAGAGACAGCTCTGCAGGCCATCCAGGAGGTGAGAACACAGACAGGGCTGCGGAGGGAGGGAGAGGGGGCTAAGGCCCATGAAAGGGTTGGGTTGGGACCTGTTGTGGAGAGTCTGCTGCTGAGCACAGGGATGTCACAGGGCACTCAGATGGCCTCCTGTGTGACAGGCCTCGACACCTGGTGCCTGGGGGTGGCTCTAGCTCCCCCCGCCTGGCCTTGTATACCTGAGCAGCAGGTGTTCTTGGTGGCACAGTGGGAGGGATGCTAGGACCTCCCCAGAGCCATGCTGAGGTCATAAGTGCATCTGGGAAGTACCTCATACAGGCCTGGAACCCTGGGCAGTGGCAGGGTGTGAACGGCTGAGGAAGATGCCAAGTTAGCTAGCCCAGAAGCCACCAGGACCCATCCTGCCCCAACATGGCCCTCCCTGGTGCTCCCACCTCTGCTCAGGCCCAAGTAAGGGCCACTGGCCCTGGCAGAAGCATGAGCAGACGCCTCGGGTGGAGGGGTGCACTCAGAGGTCCAGTGGAAAGGGGGCTCATTCCTCTGGCATCTGGTCCCTCCCTCCCTGCTGTCCGCCCACCCCAGTCTCTCAGGCCAAGTGCTAATATGGTGCTGTTTTCCAAGGAGCTAGGGCCCGGGGCCAGGCAGGGATTCTCCTCAGCCCGGCTGCTCCTTGCCATTCCAGAGGGAGCAGAACTCAGCAGTAGCCAGGCCAAGAGTGCCTGGAATTCGGTTTACAAGGCCTCAGGGACTGCGTGTGTCTGTCTGTACACACAGCCTCTAGTGTCTGTTGCTGCAAGTCCCCATGTCTCAGCCGCAGCCCTGCCCAGGGTTGGGGAGAGTGGAGAGAAGACTGCTGTGCCCGCTCCGTGCCTGCTCCCTGCATCGCTTGGACCCCGAACTTCCAGGCAGGATGGCTGGGGCCTCCCTGTAGGGAGATCAACTCCCCTTCTCTGAGAAGTTAGGGCCCTGCCCATAGCCTTGGGCTCCTGGGCTTTAGGCCAGGCTCAGGGCTCAGCCCCTGAAAGAGGGTTACAGGCAAGCAGGACCCACCGCTGCAGCCACCACGTCTCCACATTAAGCTACAAACTGCTCTGTGCCATTTAGTGCAGGGTCATCGCCCTGATCCTCTGCATGAACACCCCCACTGCAGCCTGACCGGCCACCCCTCCATAATGCAGGGTCAAAGGTTCATCCTGCCCAAGGGGCCTCCAGAACCCTGACTGTTGTCCATTCTCACTGACCAGTGCCTGGATGGACCTCACCAGTGTCTAGAGGTGCGGAGCATGCCCTCCTGTCTGCAGGCTTTCCCATGACCGCCCCCACCCCTGGCCCCCCATCCCATTTTCCTGGTGGGGAAATAAGCTCAGGGACTTGGCAGCTGGCTAACGACAGAGCCAGGATTCATTCTCAATCTGGTCTGCCCCAGGCCTTGGGGTCTTCCTCTATACACGCCTCAGCTCAGCCCCCATTGAAGTGACTCAGGGAGAACTGTGTGTGCTGAGCATGGGCAGGGGGCCTGTGGGGATGTGTTTCTGTGTCATGGGTGGGAGTGTGTGTATGAGAGAGGGGGGGGCAGCAGGTGTGCACACACACACTTGTGTAGGACAGAGTGTATCTCTGTACGTGCGGTCAGGCTACACAGGCTCCTGGAGGCTCTTGGGTGATTTTTACAGCTATTTATTGTGCTCCAGTGAAATAGAAAAAAAAAAGTGCTCGCGTTACAAACGCCGCTGTCATGTCACGTACGCCAGTCGCTGCAAACCAAACCGCGTGTGTCCGCTGGGTCTCTGGGCATGCAGTTTGTTCCCCTGTGGGAATGGGGTAGGGACGGCCGAGCCTGGGCTCTGGGGGCTTCGCTGGGGGGAGGCTTCTTGTCCTGGGGCACCCACCTGTGAGGGAGTCGGGGACAGCCAGCAGAGCCTTGCCGGTGTATCCTTTGGGAGGCTGTTGGGCACACTCCGGCTCTCTGCTGGACTCTGCAGTGCATCAGGGAGGAAGGTCCCTTCCCTCCCCACAGACCCCCCCAGTCTGCTCTCCCCAGACTCTAACCCTGTAGGCAAGTGCCAGGGGGCTGGAGGACGCCATGCAGGGGGCGAGGGTGGGCTGGGCCCGGCTGGGTCCGGCCACGAGCAGCAGGCAGACTCCAGCCCCTAGGCCGAGTTATAGTAGTTATGCGGGTGGTGGTTATGGGCAGGCTCGTCCAGCTCCGGGTAGTCCGGCGTCAGGCAGTACTTGGGGTCATAGACCTGTCGTGGCAGCCCGTACACTGTCATGCCCCGCTGTGAAGCCCCCTTGTTGCTGCCCATCTGCAGGCTGACGTTGAGTGTGTCACAGTGCTCCATACCCAGCCCTGGCTCAAAGATCTGCCGCTTGGTCCCAGGCGCAGTCATGCCAGCCTGTGGAAGGGCAGTCAGGTCAGGTGGTGGGGACCGTGACAACCAGGGGCCCCACCAGCTCAGTCCATACCCCACACACACCTGGCTGGCTCCCTTGTTGGTGCCCATCTGCAGGCTGATGGTGGCCTGGTCCAGGGGTTGGTCTGTGCCCAGCTTGGGGTTGTAGAGGTGCCGCCGAGTGCCATAGGCCGTCATGCCCTGCTGGCTGGCAAACTTGTTGGTGCCCATCTGGGAAGCAAGGAGAGTCACCCCAAGTATTATTACTCTGCGGCTTCACCATCATCCACACAACATAACTAAGTCACCTACTGTGGTCTGTTTCTACCTCATGTCACACAGGACACTAAGGCTCAGAGAGGACATGTCACTTCCCCAAGGCACACAGAACCAGTAAGTGGCTCAGAGCACCAAGGCCTACCTAGCACCCATTAACTGGGGATGTTGGCCAGTGAGCTAGTCTCTCCAGGCCTCAGTTTCCTCGTCTGTACAAAGGACGTGGTGACAACAGTACCTGCCCCCTAGAGCTATTGGAGGATTCCTTAGCTCGGTGTACTGAAAGTGCTCAGCACAGTGGCTAGCACGTGGTTTAACCCACTGCCACCACCAAGTCCGTTCTGACTCACAGAAACCCTATAGGACAGAGCAGAATTGCTCCACAGGGTTTCCGAGACGAAATCTTTACAGAAGCAGACAGCCTCGCTTTTTAGTTCTGAGTGGCTGGTGGGTTTGAACTGCAGACCTTATAGTTAGCGCCTAATGATTAGCCCACTGTGCCACCAAGATTACTTGGCATGTAGTTTATTATGTGCTGTTGAGTCGGTTCTAACTCATAGTGATCCTGTATAGGGTTTCTGAGGCTGTAAATTTCTATGAGAGCAGAAAGCCTCATCTTTCTCCCCTGGATTCAAACCACCAACCCTGCGGTTAACAGCCCAACGCACTGCCAGGGTTCCTGGCATATAGCTTGTGGTTAAGTGCTATTGAGTCAGTTCTGACTCACAGTGACCCTGTATAGGGTTTCCAAGGAGCAGCTTGTGGGTTTGAACCATCAGCCTTGCAGATAACAGTCCAGTGTTGACCCTACAGCGCCACACCAGGACACTGGCATATCGTTTGTTAAGTACTGTTGACCCTGTAAAGGGTCCTCGCCACCCTGTACAGGGCTTCTAAGGAGTGGCTGGTGGATTTGAACCACCAACCTTACTGTTAGCAGTCTAGTGCTTAATCTGCAGTGCCACTCCAGTTAATGCCAAATACATGGCTCTAAAAGGGTGCCATCCAGGCACCCCTGCCCCTCAGCTCAGCAGGAGATTGAGGGCCAGCTAGTACCTGCAGCCCAATGATGTTCCGCCCTTCTCGTAGCTTCTCTGGCTCAAATTTCCGCTCCTGCTTCTCTGCGTACTTCACCCCCACATCCACCTTGTTTCCTTTCGTCTTGGCCTGGGGAGGTGGAAGGCAGGGACTGAGGAGGGTGCTCGTCCCGGGGACTATTTGCAGCTCCTGCCTCACGCCTCCCACGTGGGCCCATTTGCATCCCAGCCTGGGTGGTACTGCTCAGTGTCCCCCTTCACCCACACTCACCATGCTGGCCAGGGCCAGAAGGGTAGATTGCACTTGGGTGTGGTTAGTGTTCTCAAAGAGGTCGTTGGCCTCAAAGATATCATGAGGCTTCACCCCATACTTGGTGATGGCCTTGATGAAGTTACCAATGTTCTCCAGCTGGTGGGGATCAAGCGGCCGTCAGTGGGAGAGGGGAAGGGCAGGGGGAGGTCTCAGGGGCTTGTGGAAAGAGGCTGTCTGAGCTCGCTCACCTGGTGCCAGTTTTGGGTTGACTCATTTACCTTCTTCACAGAGCCTGGCTGGAGCTTGTTGATGAACCTGCAGAAAGCAGGGGAGTGGATTGACAAAGGAGGCCCTTTTTTGTCCCCACTCATATCCAGCCCATCACAAGAGGAGGTCAGGATGACAGGGGGTCAGTGCTGCTCCCCACTTGATTGATCTCAACTGCCCACCCACACCGCCAGTCACCGCAAGTGGATTCTCACACATGGCAACCCCCCCACCGTGTGTGGGAGGAGAACTGGGCTCCGCAGGGCTGCTTTCTCAGAAGCAGATCCCCAGGCCTTTCTTATTAAGTAAGTGCCTCTTTGTGGACTTGAACCGCCAGCCCTTCGATGAGCAGCTGAACATGTTAAACATTCAAACATCAAGGGATGCCATCCCAGCTGCAACAGTGCCAAATCACTCTGCACACACCATCAGCTCCAAGATGGAAAAACAGCCACCTGGAGTCCGGTCTCAGGTCCCCAGTCAGAAAGCCCCCTTATGCATGCGTAAGGCACATTCCCGGCTGGCAGCCACATCTCAGGTTACATTTCCTCTCTGGGACCTCTACACAGCAGAGAGCCTACAGCTCAGACCTTGGGCCTCTTCTCTGACTTCGCTTACTCCCACAAAGATCTGGTCTAGCCTCTTAGCTATAAATATCATCGATATACCAGCAACTTTCCTACCTCCACCCAGGTCCCTCATTCTCAACCCTAGCTCCCTACAAGAGCATCTCAAATTGGACACATCACACTCCAAGCATCTAATGCCTATTTGTCTCTCCCCAAAACTCGGTCCTCCCTCATTCTCCCACCCAATAAATGGCAACACCATCATTCCAGGGGCTCAGCCAAAGCCCATGGAGTTGCCCTGGTATCCCGCTTTCCTTTTCTCACCCCCACATCTGGAACCTCAACAAGACCTTCTTCCACTTTACCTCCTAAATACATCCAGAACCAACCAAGTCTTATAGCTTCCGCCCTGATCTGAGCCACCAATGTCTTGCCTGGTTTCTGGCATTGGCCTTCCCACGGATTCCCACCTCCCACCCTGTCCCCTACAAGCCTTTTATCTAATAGCCAAAATTTAAGACCTTTATTTAAGACAATTCAAGTTACTCCCAGTTAAATATCCTCCAGTGTTTATCCCTTGCCTTCCATATACAATCCTAATTCCTTAGCATAAAAACCCCTAGTTCACTGTGACTCCACTTCCCCTGCTGGCCTCCTCACTCTTCTCTTGAACTCACCAGACAACGCTCCCACCTCAGGACCTTTGCACTGGCTCTTACGTGTGTGCCTGGAACCCTCTTCCCTCAGATAGTCTCACAGCTCCCTCCCTGACCTCATCTAAGGCTCTAACATTACTTCCATAGGTAGACCTAGACAGACAGACAAAGCTACAGAAAACAGAAAGCACCTCCCTCCCGCAGCACATCTCCATAGCACTTACCTCTACAGGCAAGTAAGTGCTTACTGGATTCCTTGCCTGCTGTGTATCTCCCCCCCACCCCACCCCATCCTTCCACTGGAACTAAAGCTCAATAGTTCCACGTGGAGTGACCATAGATCAGTTCACGGTTCCACTGCCTAGACCAGAGCCTGGTATACAACAGGAGCTCCATAAATGCATGTTGCATGAATGAAGGAGGTTGTGACTCAGGCTGGAGCAGCCTCATGTCTGAGCAGGGGCACAAGGGGGCCCCTTGTTACCCTGTGTCATCCCTTGTCTCTGGGGGAGAAGATGGAATAAAATCCCACCCCCAGCATCTGGGACTGGGTGAGATGCTGCCTTCCAAAAGTTTCCCACACAGACACTCTGGCCTTCATGGTCACCCCGACCCGGGTCACACTTGGAGGTACAGATTGGACCTGGGCTGAAGTCTGCACTATTTTCAGCATTAGCCAGGATGGAACCCAGGCTCAAAAGATAAAGAGGTCTTCATCTGAGGTGGGTAGAGAATCAAGACCGAATTAAAGTACTGGAATCTGACAGCAATCCCATCCCCAAGTCAGGGATGAACAGCCAACATGGATTCTTGTCTTTTAGGACTTCTCTTATCACCTGGAATCCTAGTGGGGCTCTGTAGGATAAACACTGGACTGCTACCCAAAAGGTTAGCAGTTCAAACCCACTAGATACTCCTTAGAAACCCTACACAGGGTCACTGTGAGTCGAAACCAAGTCAATGGCACTTAACAGCAGTGACTTTGGACACCACCAATAGGACTGCGCTGTATAAGAATGCACTCTGCTTAACATTGGTTTCTGAGTTATTTGGAGTGAAGCCACATGGGACTTTGGATGATGTGCCTCACTTGAATGAGCCTCAGTTTTCTTTGTTAAATGGGCAGCAGGATCATTTGCCATCTTAGAAGGTTGTTTTCAGCTACAAGATGTGACTTCCCAACAAAGCTCCAGGTTCATGTCCGCTTAGGGGACTGAGGGAGTAGCGAAGTGTTCCAGGGTCTGGGCCACTAGCGGCTCCACTCACTCGCAAAGGATGATGCCGTTTTTGAGGCCGTCCATGAAGTTATTGCCGATGCGCCGTCCTGTCACCCCCTCTATCCACTCACGCAGCTCCTGCTCCCGATGGTGGTCGTACTTCTGGGCCAGCTGGGAGGCGGGGGTCACAGAGAGGGTGATGAGGATGCAGGGCCAAGTGGGCTTAGCTTCCTGGGCCCAATCCCAGGCACCCTAAGCCTGTTCTCCTTCCTCCTCATCCCTTCCCAACTAAGGCAATTCTGTGCCCAATGAGGGGGGGTTGGGGGGGGGGACTAGGATGGGCCAGGGCCAGGAGTGAGGTGGTACCTGCCCAGGGGGCCATTCCAGGCATTCTGAGGTTTGGCACCAGAGAATGCAGGGAAGGGGGAGGCGCTGAGCCTCCTGGTTCCCCCTCCAGGCCAAACTTGGGGCTTAGCTTCCCCTAGCCCTGCCCCCTGGACTCCTTATCCCTCCACCCCTTTGCTGGAAGAGGAGCTGGAGACCTGAGGAGGTGCCCCTAACTCAGGCTCTGTCTTATATCTCCAGGCCCACATCTATCAGGGACTCTATCTTAGGGTGGGGGCTGGCCTGTCTCCCTCTCGCCTGATTGCCACCCCCCACCCCAAGTTCTGTCTGAGTTCTCTTGGCACTATCTTGGTGTCCTATCTCTCTGGGTCTATTGTCTCTCTCTAGAGGGGGACTGGACTTATCACTGCCCTTTCATCTCATTCTCATCTCAGACTAGGGTCCTGACTGCTGCTGGGGGAGGAGTTTGTTGGGCCCCCTCTGGCCTCTCCATCCTGGTTTCTGTCCTTATCTCACTCCTGTCTCGCCAACCCTCCCTGTCTGTTCCCAGTATTTTCTCCCCCGCTTTACCAACTCCCCCCCAACTCACACATATATACACACACGGGCTTCCTCAAGAACTCTCCACCTCAGCCCTAGACAAACTCCCAGCCCCTGGGGGGTCGGGCTACCCCCTGTCCTGGGTCAGATGGTGAGGGATGTGGGAGGAGGCAGCCCCCTCACCTGGCCCTGGTGCCCCCCTTCCCCTCCAGCTCAGCTTTATAAAGCAAATCAGCCCTTATATAGCATGCCTGCCTGGCGGGCTGGGCTCCCCGAAGCCACCTTATATGGCGTGGCAGCTCCGGCGCCGCTCTGGGGCCGGCACTTGGGGAGTGGGGGGGGGCAGCGGTTCTGGGATCTGTCCTTGACCTAAGCACCCACCCCCCTCCTCTAGTCCCACGGATCCCCTGGCCCAGTTTCCCATCCCAGCTCTGGTCCCCCTCGCTCTGGGAGCCCAGGAAAAGCCACCTTGAGCATCAGTAGTCCAGCTATCAAATGCAGCTGCGACTCCTCCCCTGGCAGGGCTCATGGGAGGATTCCAGGGGGGTGCAAACTTCCACTTCCCTCCCCTGGAGAGGCTGACTCCATCCTAACTGCAAGTCTAGGGTCACAGCTCTGCACCTGCCTCAAGTTGGACCCTGGCTACATGTCTCCTCTCTGAACCTCAATTTACCCATCCATAGGAGATCCCTGCCATGTTCGTGGTACCCACACCCTTCCCTTCCCCCAGCTGCCTCTTTCTCCCCTGTGAGCCCCCCTTCTGGGTCTCTTAACTCAGGGACTTTGTTCTCCTGCCCTCCCTCCAAGTTCTTTGTCAGGCTGGGAGTATGGGAGTAATCAGCAAGGGGGTGCCACTTCCTCACTAGGAACACAAAGGGTTAACTAACAAGACTGATGAGACTGGGGATCTGTTTCTCCAGGTCTGCCTCCACACCCTTCATTCAGCCCCCAACAGTAGCGGAGGGCTTGAGATGCTCAGTCTATCCCCCTTCCCCCATTAGGCGCCAAGTCTCACAGAATAGCGTTCAGGGATGCTGTCCAGCCCTACCTTGTTCTTGACCTCGGCCGACAGCCCATAGGCGGGGCCTCGGTTAAAGTGCGCAGAGGACATGCTGCCGGCTGGTGGGCTCTGATGGGCAGCCTGGACACTACAGCAAGGACCGGGCCGGGCAGCAGCTGAAACTCGGCTGCACCCTCTTCCCTTTCACATGTTTTTGAAGCTCCGGAGGCGGCCCGGGAGTCTTTCAAAGCTGTCTCATTGGCCACAAGGGTTTGCCAAGGGGTGGGGCGCCCCCACCTCAGCCACCCCCCTCGTGATGTCAGGGCCTTGGTATTGGGAGCTGATTGTGTCATTGTTTCCACCTAGGGGGGCAGCCTGAGTTATTCATGGGGGGGGGGCCTTGGCCAGACAGAGACCAACTATGCTCCAATCCGTCACCACCCCCAACCATCCACTGGACCCTGACTGGGTCTCTGAGTCTCTTTGTCCCTGTCTCTGAAGCCATCTCTGTGACTCTGAGGTCGTCTCTCTTCACTGTCTCGGCTGTCTCTTATCCCCCTGAGGAAGGACTGTCTCCTGTGGTAGTGAAACGAGCTCCATCCAGGCCTTACCCCTAAGTACCAACAGTCCATAATCTTAGGCAAGCAAGTCCCGTTCCTGCTCAGACCTCTGTTTCCACATCTGTAAAATGGGCTAATGAGAGTGCCTGCCTCCTGGAGGTGTCGTGAAGTCTAGAAGAATCGCTCCCTCTGCTGTGCCCGACATCTGAGGGCCTGGGTTCAGACAGTCACATTATTTCTGGAACCCCAGTTCTGTTCCCTGCAGGCCTTCATAAGATTCTAAGGGAGCAGAGATCTGGGTCCCTAGTCACGGGTCACCTGAGCCACAGGGTGGGTGCCAGGCTACGAACACCCCCGTAAGCCTGGCCAGATCTCACACTGGACCACACCAGTGGTTGAGATGCCCACACTGCGCCACATCTGTCAAGCTGGTGACATTGGGATGGCAGTGGCCTCCCATACACTAGTATTATGTTCAGGACATGCTAGTTTGCTGGCCACATGCTAAATGCACTGCTGTGGTACACTAATATGACAGTGACCCATAGGTCAGACCCCATATTCCAAGTGCTAAGGTGTATCAACTAAGGCCTTACAGCACCTTCAGAGGTGAATGCTGCCACTGAATGAGCTGTACAGATGGAGAAACTGAGGCATGGGAGTGTAGAATCACTTTCTTAGTGTCCTAATGCTTTCAGAATTTGAAGCCAGGTCCTTGTCCTCTGGCTTTGAGACTAAGCTAGGGCTCCTCAACCTCAGCACTCTTGACATTCAGGATTGGCTAATTCTCTGGTGTGGGGTCTGTCTTGGGCATTTGAAACATCGCTAATCTCTACCCAGTAGATAGATGTACTCCCAAGTCATGACACAATTGTTTTCAAACATTGCCCAAATGTCCCCTGAATGAGGTAGATTGCCCCTGTTTGGAACCACTGGGCTAAGATACTGGAATCCCTGGATGGTACTGACAGTTAAGTGCTAGGTTACTAGCCAAAACGTTAGTGGTTTTAGCCTACCCAGAGGTACCTTGGAAAAAAGGCCTGCCAATCTGCTGCTGAAAAATCAGCCATTGAAAATCATATGAAGCCCAATTCTGATTTGACACACACGATGCCACTCTAAGTCAGAAACAATTTACCAGGGAAAGGGCTAAGAACAAGCTGATGACGTATATTGTTATGTGTTGAAAACACTAAAATACTTCAAATGAGCTAACAATAACCCACTGCCATTGAATAGATTCCAACCCACAGCCACCCTCTAAGACAGAATTATGGGAGTGCAGGGGTTCCATACAATAAGCACAGGACTGTGAACCACAAGGTCTACAGTTTGAGCCCGCCAGCCGCTCCTGGCAGAAAGATGAGGCTTTCTGCTCCTGTAAAGAACTCAAGTCTAAGAAACCCTATACGGGCTCACTATGAATCGGAACCAACTTAACAACAACAGTTACAAGACAGATTAAACTCCTCAGGGTTCTTTACAGGCACTGATACTCTCATCTTTCTCCCCATAGAGCTGTTGGTGGGTTCCAACAACCAACCCTGTGGTTAGCTGCTCAGTCCTTGGCTCACTGCACCACCAGGGCTACTGAGTTAACAATTGTTTGGTGCTGCCTAGACGTGTTCTGACTCAGCGACTCTATCTGTACAACAGTGAGAAACACTGCCCAACACTCCTGGGTACTGCACCATCCTCACATGCCTGCCATATGCTTTGGATCCACTAACTCTGTCTTCAAAATAACACTATGCGGTGGGATCTGTGATCATGATCATGCCCTGTAAACAGATGGAGAAAGTGAAGCACAGAAAGGCGAAGCGCGCTGCTCCGGGGATGCACAGGTCGAATGTGGGGGACTGGGATCGAACGCGTGAAGTCCTGGCTACTGCCCAAGTAATGCGACCCATCAAAGACCTCCAAAGGTCGCTATGAGGAACGGCGCCTTGGCCGAGCTGGTGGCTGGCGCCCTCTGGCGGCCCAGAAATGACCCGAGCGGGGTCCGGGCGGCAGTGACGTGAGACGCTGACTCAGTCGGCCGCGCCCCCCCACCCTGGACCGCAGCTGCTTGGCCATTTATAGAATCTGCGCCGGCTCTGAAGTCACGGCGCAAGCACGACGGGGGCGGGGTGGGGGGTGCTCTTGTGGGGAGGAGGGGGAGCTCAATAGGACAGCCCGGGGTCTCCCCAGGAGGCGGCCCTTTCTGGGTCAGCATCTATCACTTGTTCTGCCTCTGAGTCATTGTCTGTCTGGGTCACCTCTCCTTTTTCTGTTTCTAACTTTGTCTCTCTGAAACTGTGCTTTTTCATTGCTTCCTCATCTCTGTGTTTGCTTCTTGTCTCTGAATCGGTTTTTCTTGATGTCTCTGTCATGTCCCTGTCCCTCTGTGTCTCTCTCTCATAGATGATAAAGGCAAGGAGGGACTCAGGACCACCCTCATCCCATCTTGAGCCCCCATCCCTAGAGGAGACTCCCATCACATCACCCACTGCCATACTGCACTCCCCGACTCAGCCACGGGAGCGACTGGTGTATTTGAACTGCCTACCTTGAATCAGGAGCTCTGGTAGCTAGTGGGCTGCAAAACTCAAGGTCAGCAGTTCAAAACTACCAGCTGTCCCGCAGGAGAAAGACGAGGCTTTCTGCTCCCATAAAGAGTGGGAACCGACTCCATGACACATAACAACAACCTTGCATTCAAACGGACCTCGAAGTCCAGTGCTTACCCTTCAACACCTTACCTGGAGTCCCCTAAAGCCTTCCTGACTCTCATGTCCCACCGTGCATTGCTAATCTTGGCAGCCCTGCCCTGCCAGCCCCTCTTTACCTAATTTTCCCTCCAGCAAGCAGCTGCTGTTTACAACGGCTTCCATTTCAGGAGCAAGAACTGTAACAGGCCAGGCAGTGGGCCCAGCACAATTTTCTATAATCCTCATCACCTTGGTGAGTCCTGGTGTGGCGCTGCAGTTTAATGCGATGGACTGCAAGGTCAGCTTGAACCTCATGGTCAGTGGTTCAAGCTCACCAGCCACTCTACGGAAATAGGCTCGGCAGCACTTATCAACAACCACAACACTATTGGGCCCATCTTATAGACAATGGGTGTCCCAGGTTTAGCAAAGGAGCACTTTGCTCTACCCAAAAAGGTCAGAGGTTCGAAACCACCAGCCTACTCCCCTGGAGAAAGTCGGCTTCTGTAAAGATTGTTGCTGTTATTGTTAAGTGCCATCGAGTCAGTTCTGACTTATAGTGACCCTATACAGGGTTTCCGAGGAGTCCTGGTGTGGTGCTGTGGGCTAATGCATCAGACTGCAAAGTCGTTTGAACTGCAAGTTCGGTGGTTCAAGCTCACCAGCTGCTCCTTGGAAACCCTATACAGGGTCACTATGGGTCGGAATTGACTCAACAGCACTTAACAACAACAACAACATACAGGGTTTCCAAGGAGCGGCAAGTGGATTTGAACCGCCAGCCTTGTGGTTCAAACCAATGTTGCTTTCAAGAGATTATCCTACAGAGCCACACCAGGACTCCTCTATAAAGATTACAGCCTGGAAACCATAGGGGCAGTTTTGCTAAGAGTCAGAATCCACTTGACAGCAGCGATGAGGGTTAAGAGAGCCCAAACCACTCTCCCAAGGTCACACTGCTGTTGCCACTCCTTCCAAACTTGCTCCTTCAGCCCTCAAGCAAGCTCCTTCTGAGTCCCTTCCTCCTGGAACACTTTCCCTAAAAGATGCCTCCTGACCTCTCCCTCACTTTGCTTCAGTCTCTACTCAAATGTCACCTCTTCCAAGAGGTCCACCCTACCAACCAACTCTAAGAAAATAATAGCCTCACTTCCCAACAGGCATGTGAAAGGGTGGGGCCACTGAGCTGTTCAGTTAATAGTTGTGCATTTAACAGTGGGTATGTTTGCCTCCTCATAGCAACCCTACAGGACAGTAGAACTCCCTAGTTACTGAGGCAGTAAATCTCTACGGCAGCAGATTGCCTCATCTTTCTTCCAGTGAGTGACTGGTAGGTTCGAACTGCCCACCTTTCCATTAGTATTCAAGCCACAATGCAATAAAAACTTTAATTTTAAAAAGTGATTTTACCTCATGAAATAAACATCATCCATGAGTATTGTGCTCCTTGAGACCAAACAGTGAACATTTACTTAAAATTGAAGACGAGAAGGCAAGCGGGCAGGGAAACTAGATTACTGGAAACAGAGCAATCAGAATGGAAATAATGAGAAAACCAACTCACGATGAAAAATGTGACCAATGTTGCTGAACAAATTGTGTAGAAACTTCAAAGGAAAAACCTAATTTGCTGAGTAAACTTTCACAGAAAACACAATACTTGTTTTTTCAAAAGTAATTTTAAAGAAATAGCCCTTCCACTCTCTATCACCTTTCCTAGCTTTCTTTTTCTTCTCATCTCCTCCTGACGTATTGCATAAATCTTTTATTCCAATCTATCTCATCCCAGGAGAACTGCAGTTTCTTTAAGGAAAGGACTTTGCCTGTTTTCTTCACCACTCTATCCTTAGGGCCCAGAGCAGTGTCTGCACGCAGC